CCGCCTGCTTCACAGGTGCGGCTGGCGGGGACGAGAGACAGGGTCTTTTCTGTGGTGGCCCCTCGGCTATGGAACGCCCTTCCCATGGAGGTAAGATCAGCCCCCTCGCTGATGGTGTTCCGAAGAAGATTAAAAACCTGGATGTTCGAACAGGCATTTGGTTAATCGGTGCAATGAATGTGATGATTACAGGAATGGTAATATGGACGACAAAACTGGATCACGATTTTAGTCATGAGATGCATTGGGTTGTTATTGTTGTGTTAATATTGTGTATTATGCTTTTATGGTTTTAAATTGTATATTGCTGACTGTTGTACCTTTGTTGTAAACCGCGTTGAGTCGCCTGTTAGGCTGAGAAACTGCGGTATACAAGTAAAGTAAATAAATAAATAAATAAATAATCCAGTTCAAAGCAGATAATCTGAATTCAGAGACTGGATTATATGGTGTTGTAGATGGGGCCTGAGTAGAGTGGCAAAAAGCCAGGCTTTAGATGGTCCCGGGAGAACCTAAAAAAAGCACCAACCCCATATTTCCATTACAGCACCACTTCTGGCCTCTTTGAATGTCTGGGCACGGAAATGACAGTGGTGGCCAGCAATTGTTTGTGCCCTAAGGTGCCTTGGTACATTCCCCTCTCTGCAGAATGACCCTCTGTTTATCTACAGATCATATTAAAAAACCATATTTTTGCCCTTAAACCTGCTATCAACTTATACATGAGGTCTATTTGTACATGAGTATATAAGGTAATTGTTTTTGAGATATAAAATAAGGAACTTTCATATTTGAGTAAGGAGACAAGAACAGGAGAAGCTGATTAGCCATGAATTGCTGAAAATCCAGTACAACATAGGGGAAGATTAATTGAATCTAGAAGTCCCAATCCTATTGTACCAATGTTTAGCCAAATTGTGCCCTTCTGTACACTAGAACTGCAAGTACAGGAAGTATTGCTTCTCTTTAAAAAAAAGTGCTTCAAAAATTTCTGATCATGAATGAATTTATATCTTTTGTTAGCAATTTTTGTGTTGAAAGTCATTAGACAGCAAGGTGGGTTGCCAATCTACATACTGCATCTGCTTGATGGGAGTGTGCAGCATTTTCCATTCCATGCAGTGATTTTTGTGCCATATTTACGTATTTAAGATAGTGAATTTAGATCCCACTTTCAGTTATATGTATCCCAGAGCACCCAAAAATTTACATATTTACATCATTGTAAATATAACATACAGACACCGATAAATCAGAAGTAGTAGGAACAAATAAATACAGGTCTTCACTGTTGCAGGGATTAGGGGCATAGAACCCCCAGCAAAAGTGGGAAAACTGCGAGTAAAAAAACGTCTATTGTATTTAACATGAGAGAACACATTGAATGGGCCAGGCTTAATCACAGCGGGTTGAACTGCTAGCTGTAGAAAATCTTGCCAATCAAAAAGTTGGTAGTTCAAGCCCGGGTTGAGGTGAGGTCCTATCATCAGCCCAGCTTCTGCCCACCAGCAAATAAAAAACAGTAATGTGAGTAGATAAATGCTTTTAGTGGGGAGGTAATAAAATGCGCCCATAAGAACATGTTGGCAATTCCATTGGGAGGACATCTACGGACAACAAAAATCTCCTCCGCATGGAAGATGGAGCGACAGCAGTGGATGGAGTTGAGCACAGCCCCTAGATGCCAGAGATGGAAAAAGATAGGGAAAGCCTATACCTCTGTTTATGTGCTGTCTGTGCTTGTTAATTGTATAATGGTATTGAATATTTGCCATATATGTGTTCTGTAATCCGCCCTCAGTCCCCGCTGGGAGACAGAGTGGAATATAAATAAAGTTTGTTATTATCTCCAGGAATCTACTTGTCCTTCAGTGAAACTGTGGTGTTGACCATAGCATTGCCCTGGAAGAGCAATTAGATGTTGCTCCTTATCTCTAATCATAGGAAGAGGGGAGTAAGAGACAACAAGTTTTTAAGCACTCCCAATTCTTAAAAGCAGGATGCACAGAGAGACAAAGGAAGGAAAGCCTGGTGCCTGAAAAAGACTTTAGTAAGTGTCACTTAGTAGAGCCTATTTCTTGATATATCTGCATCTCAAAGTATTTAGTGCTTTAACATTAGGGATCGGAATCCCCACCAGTGAATCTGAGGTCCTTTCACACTACCAGATTATGGAGTTATGATTCCACTTTAAGTGGCATGGCAACATCTTATGGAAACCTGTTTTTTTTTAAGTTATCAAACAGATAAAAGCCATTTAAAAGACACAGAAGGGGCAAATATTGATTATGAGTTAGCAAAACCATGTAATATACAAAGAGAAATGAAGCAAAGTGGTCAGTTGTCTCCTCTTTTATTCATTTTTGCTTTTGAGGTTTTGCATAGAGCTATAAGATAAGATCTGGTGCAGCTAGTTAGTAGCCAGCTGCATTAAATCATTACTGACCGAGAGTTCATGAGTTCAAAGCCAGTTCGGGTCGGCCATTAATAGTCTAGCTTGATGTTGACCTATGCAGCCCAAACGACAGTTGCATATGTCAAGTAGGAAATTTAGGTGCTGCTTTATGTGGGGAGGCTAATTTAACTAATTTACAATGCCATAAAACCATCCAGCAGCATGCAGAAGAATGAGGAAGTACTCCATCAAAGCACTCAGTGTCACAAGTGGACGGTGAAGCAGCAGCTCTCCCTGTGGCCAGAATCGAGCAAACCCTCATGAAACTGGAAAAGCTGGAATGTTAAATTGTTAAATTGTGTCTGTCTATAGATGTTGTATGTCTAAAAGGCATTGAATGTTTGCTATGTATATATGCATTGTAATTTGCCCTGAGACCCTTGTGGAGTGAGAAGGGCAGAATATAAATACTGTAAATAAATAAATAAATAATGTATTAAAAGTTAAAAAAGGAAATATGCAAATAATTGGCCCATGGAGTCTCACTCTTTAATATATTTAACTTTTAGTAAAGAGTTTTCCAGAGGGGATTTGCCCTGGTCTTCCTCTGAGACTGAGGGAGAGTGATTTGCCTAAGGTCACTCTGTGGTTTTCATGGCTGGGCAGGCATTCAAACTTTGGTCTCCAGAGCCCTAGAGTGCATCAACACTACAGAATGAATGCGGGTTAGTCCCAATTTTACTGCCATGGTTTCCTCTTGACATTAAGTCTAGTCATGTCCAACTCATGTCCAACTCGGGTTGGTCCCAATTTTACTGCTATGGTTTCCTCTTGACATTAAGTCTAGTCATGTCCAACTCGGGGTGGTGGTGGCTCATCTCATTTCTAAGCCAAAAAAACAGCGTTGTCCATAGACACCTGCACGGTCATGTGACCAGCATGACTGCATGGAGCGCCGTTACCTTCTTGCTGGAACGGTACCTACTGAACTACTCACATTTGCATGTTTTCAAACTGCTAGGTTGGCAGAAGCTGGGGCTAACATTGGGAGCTCACCCCACTCCCCAGATTCGAACCGCTGACCTATTTGATTACACGTCAGACATATTATTAATTAATTAATATAAATTATTATTATTATTATTATTATTATTATTATAGAATCATAGAGTTGGAAGAGACCTTGTGGGGCCATCTAGTCCAACCCCCTGCCAAGAAGCAGGAAAATCGCACTCAAAGCACCTCGACAGATGGCCATCTAGCCGCCGCTTTAAAGCCTCCAAAGAAGAAGCCTCCACCACACACCGGATAAGAGAGTTCCACTGCTGAACAGCTCTCACTGTTTAGCAGTGAGGCACCAGTAATGTGGCTCACAAATGGAACTTTGAAAAAGAAGACTGAGGGCCTGATTCTTGCATCCCAAGAACAAGGCATTAGAACCAATGCCATCAAAGCCAGTGTAGACTCTGCAAGGAAGCAGAAGAAACGATGGATCACATCCTCAGCTACTGCAAGAAGATCATGCAGACAGACTACAAGCAGGGGCATAATACCATTGCTCAGATGATTAATTGGAACTTGTGCCACAAATACCATGTGCCTGCGACAAAGAACTGGTGGGATCACAAGCCTGAAAAAATTACAGAAAATGAACACATCAAACTACTCTGGGTCTTCCTAATTCAGACTTTTGGAGCACGATCGTGTTAAAAAACTATGATGTTGCAATCCCAGGCAACAGCAGGATTGAAGAGAAACAACTAAAAAAGCCAACATAATATGAGGATTTAAAAATTGAACTGCAAAGACTCTGGCACAAGCCAGTAAAGGTGGTCCCAGTGGTGATCGGCACACTGGGTGCAGTGCCTAAAGACCTTGGCCTGCACTTAAACACAATCAGCGCTGACAAAATTACCATCTGCTAGCTGCAGAAGGTCACCCTACTTGGATTTGCACGCCTTATTCGCCAATACATCACACAGTCCTAGACACTTGGGAAGTGTCCTACGTGTGTTCCAATACAAAAGCCAGCATAGTGATCTTGTTTGCTGTGTACTAATCATGTTATGTATCAAATTATTATTATTATTATTATTATTATTATTATTATTATTATTATTATTATATTTATTATTATTTGCTGGTGCCTCAGCAAAGTACAATGATCCTATGATTCCATAGCATAAGTCCATGGCAATTGCAGTGGTGCTGAACTGCATTAATTCTAAAGTGTAGATGCACTCGACGTTTCCGCCCTCCCAGCCCGTCCCACCCGGCCTAGATTCATCTTTAGCTGCATTGAACTGCATTATCTGGGTCGACCATGACCATATAAATGCAGTTCCGAAATGCATTCTAGAGCACTGTGCAGTGGACCCAACCAAAATCTCTCTCTCTCTCTGACTCTTGTTTCCCTGCCTCCTCGTTTTTCATTCTTTCCCCCAGTAGGGAGCGCCCTCCCCCTTGAGAGCTTGGTCCAATGAGAAGGAGGCGCCCGGTTTCCCGTTAGCCAATGGGAGAGCCGCGGGGAGATGTTCTCTCTCTTTCTCTCTCTCGCCTTTCAAAGCGGGAGCCAGAAGGGCGGAAGGGGGCGCGCGCGCGGGCAGGCAGGCAGGCCGGGCGGGTGCGCGCGCGCGCGGGGCGTCTCTTCGGGTCCCACTCCTGGCATCGCTTTGCACTTGCAATTGCAGCAGGAGCAGCAGCAGAAGCAACAGAAGAGGCAGCCTCTCTTTTTTCTCCCCCTTCCCGGCGGAGGAGCCGAGGCGCAAGGCTGCAGCATGCCGGTGGAAGAAGGGGGCCTCCGGGTGTTTCAGAGCGTCCGGATCAAAATAGGTACGAGGAGGGAGGGAAGCAGGAGTGGGCTCACAAAGGGAAAGGAAACCGTCCCGTGGCTGCCTTGCCTCCCCCCCCCCCCCATCCCTTGCCTGCCTTTTTTCCTCCCTTGCTCTTTCCTTCCTTCGCTCCCATCCTGCAAGGAAATGACAGATGAGAGGAGAGGGAAGGAAAGGATGCCTGTGAATGGGGAAGAAGAGAATGCAACTCCGGGATGTGATGGGCAGCAGCAACGCTTTGCATCGCTACTAGAATGGTTTTATATTGTAGTAAACCAGTGTTTCTCAACCTGGGGGTCAGGACCCCGGGGGGGGGGGTCGCGAGGGGGTGTCAGAGGGGTCGCCAAAGACCATCAGGGTTGTGTGGAAAGTTTGGCCCAATTCTATCGTTGGTGAGGTTCAGAATGCTCTTTGGTTGTAGGTGAACTGTAAATCCCAGCAACTACAACTCCCAAATGTCAAGGTCTATTCTCCCCAAACTCCAACAAGTGTTCACATTTTGGCATATTGAGTATCCTGCCAAATTTGGTCCAGATCCATGATTGTTTGAGTCCACAGTGCTCTCTGGATGTAGGTGAATTACAACTCCAAAATTCAAGGTCAATGCCCTCCAAACCCTTCCAATATTTTCTCTTGGTCATAGGAGTTCTGTGTGCCAAGTTTGGTTCAATTCAAGTTTGGCTGGATGGCCATCTGTCGGGGATGCTTTGAATGTGATTTTTCTGCTTCTTGGCAGGGGGTTGGACTGGATGGCACATGAGGTCTTTTCCAACTCTATGATTCTATGGTTCTATGGTGGAGTTCAGAATACTCTTTGATTGTAGGTGAACTTTAAATCCCAACAACTACAACTCCCAAATGACAAAATCAAGCCCCCTCCAACCCCACCAGTATTCAAATTTGGGCATATTGGGTATTTGTGCCAAATTTGGTCCAGTGAATGAAAATACATTCTGCATATCAAATATTTACATTACGATTCCTAACAGTAGCAAAATTACAGTTATGAAGTAGCAATGAAAATAATTTTATAGTTGGGGGTCACCACAAAATGAGGAACTGCATTAAGGGGTTGTGGCATTAGGAAGGTTGAGAAACACTGTAATATACTATATATACTATGTCTGTATATCAGGCATGGCAAACTTCAGCCCTCCAGGTGTTTTGGACTTCAACTCCCACCATTCCTAATAGCCTCACGCACTTTCCTTTACCCCCTCAGCCGCTTAAGCGGCTGAGGGGGTAAAGGAAAGGGCGTGAGGCTATTAGGAATGGTGGGAGTTGAAGTCCAAAACACCCGGAGGGCCAAAATTTGCCCCTGACTGGTCTACACTACCAAATGAATGCAGCTGGACACCTCTTTATCTGCTATGGCTTCATGCAATGAGATCCCAGGATTTGTAGTTTGGGGAGGGACCAGCACTCTTTGGCTCAGAAGTCTAAAAACTTTGCAAAACTACAGCTGTCACAGTGCCACATCATTGAGCCATAACAGTTCAAGGAGTGTCCAGGCTATATCCATTCAACTGTGTTAGCAAAATGCCCCAAACTGTCTCCATTGCGAAGTGTGGGCAGAAAGCGTGGATGTGTAGCATATACTATTTTGGAAAAGAAATTCACTTTGTTAGTACCATAGAGTCTCACTTATCCAACCTTTGCTCATTATCTGACGCAGTCTGCCTCCCACCCGGATCCACAGCTGTTTCAATACATTGCGATGTTTTGGTACTACATTCGTAAATACAGTAATTATTACATAATGTTACCATGTATTGAACTGCTTTTTCTGTCAATTTGTTGTAAAACATGATGTTTTGGTGCTTAATTTGTAAAATCCTAACGTAATTTGATGTTTAAAAGGCTTTTCCTTATTATCCAACATTTTTGCTTATCCAACGTTCTGCCAGCCCGTTATGTTGGATAAGCGAGACTACTGTACTCCTTAGCAATGGGATGCCCTATGACCCTTTGAGGGTTCACTAAAAACCCTTCTAGCAGGAGGATTCCTGGACCAAAGTTCCTCTGCCTTGTTTGGTCATTTGAAAGCACTCCTCCTTTTGAGTGCTGTGGTCACGCAGAACCTGTGGGTCGTGACCCTCAGAAGCTCAATTTTCCTATCTCTTTGGAAAATTCAGAAGTTGGCAGAAATGTGCTTGGAAGTTCTGACTTTGTCCACTACGCACTCCAATCTGTGGGTGGTTCCTGTTTGCCGGTGGGTGTCAGATTAATCCAGTGCTGTTTTCCCAGGCTTTCCCTCATTTCCTGTTTATTATCTGCTAGATCAAGGATGAAGGGCTTGTGAGCCTCCATAAAATCTTAGAGTTGGAAGAGACCTCGTGGGCTATCCAGTCCAACCCCCTGCCAAGAAGCAGGAAAATCGCATTAGAAGTACACCCAACAGATGGCCATCCAGCGTCTGCTTAAAAGCTTCCAAAGAAGGAGCTTCCACCACACTTTGGGGCAGAGGGTTCTGCTGATGAACAGCTCTCAAAGTCAAAAAGTTCTTCCTCATGTTCAGGTGGAATCTCCTTTCTAGAAGTACTAGTCTCCAGGGCAGCAGAAAGAAGCTTGCTCCCTCCTCCTTCTGACTTCCCCTCACATCTTGGTCCTCATCATGTCTCCTCTCAGCCTTCTCTTCTTCAGGCTAAACATGCCCAGCTCTTTAAGCCGCTCCTCATAGGGCTTGTTCTCTAGACCCTTTATCATTTTAGTCACCTTCCCCTGGACAGCTGGTGCTTCTTAATCTCCCGCTATTGCCAATTCTATGGCTGATGGGAGCTGCAGTCCGTCAGGACCATATTGTTATGATCCAAACTGTAATCATGCCTATTTAATACGGTTTTCTGTTGTCACTTCTGTATCTCCGTCTCTGCTCCTCCAACTTCTGATCACTGTTTGATTCTTATTGTTCGATGTCCCCCCCCCCCCACCACCACCACTGATATTTAGTGGTTTCCTCTCGGCATTCCTGCATCCCATAATGCTCCAGAGAAATCTTCTTGGGCCATCTTCTTGCCACTTYCTGTTGGTACAATGTGGTCATGGTGAAATGTGTCATGTCAGTTTTTGTTCCTCTTTAATGCATTTGAATATGTGCATGTATGTGTTTAAAATGCAATGAAACTACATATACAGATTAACTCATGTAAGTAAGGTCCCTTTCCACACAGCCATATAACCCAAAATATCAAGGCAGAATGACCCACAATATCTTCTTTGAACTGGGTTTTCTGAGTCCACACTGCCATATATCTCAGTTCAAAGCAGATAATGTGTGAAAGGGGCTTAAGTCATTCATTTGGACCTTCTCCTGTGTTGTTGTGTTGAGGATTACAACTACAATACGTTACGTCTTGCACTCCCATGGGGAATCTGCTATTTTTTGTGCGATGTATCCCGAACATCCTCTGAAAAGGGAAAGACAATTTATATTGCTGTCAGAAATACTGATGGTGGCTTCTTGCCATGACATCTTGAGAACAAACTTATCTACATCTATGTCATCTTGTGTCTTCTACAGTTAAACTTCCTTTCCCCCCCTCTCTTCTGTTAATTTTCTCTTCCTCTGATCTAGATTTGAAGACCTTATGTCTTATGCCTGTTATTGGTGCTAACAGTAAAATTACCATGCAATTATGCAGATCCTGTGGAAGACCTACATAGTTAATTGTACAAGTTCAGAATGCAAATTAGTATTTGTTTCTAGACCAAATATGGAGAACATACAGCTTTGGAATGGATCTTCCATCACCCAACACAGCTGCATATAGCGAGCCACTTATTGTATTCTAAAATGTACACAGATCATGTTTTCTCAAATACAGTCTACAATGTACACATACTGTTTCCCTTATTTCCTGTTGGGTCACTATTTTGGGTCAGATTTTTGCACCAGCTTGTGATAAATGCACTTTTATGTCTCCAGATATGTTTCAACAGTTCACAGACAGGCTTTGAATTCTGTACCGAGTACTTGTTCAAATAATACTGGCAGATCATTTGTATGCATTACATATTAAACAGGCCCTGAGAAAGTGAACATAAAAGGACTCATTGTGAGCCTAATAGAAATTTCCCATATTTCAAGCTGCTATTGCTTCAGCCTGCTGTTGACTGTTCACAGCGTGCAGTTTCTATGTGACTATCACAGACGGTAGTTTAATTTGTTTGAAGGACGTGCTATTATTTTGACTGTTGAATGACTTCCAGACCACATCATTAGAAAGTAAGCAACAGATGTCACTGTTGTAGATTAAAATTCACTCTGGTGCTGTTCTGACTATACTGGGTTATAGGACAAGTGCTGCACCCTTGACCAACTAAATCTGGTGGGAAAACCCTGTCCTTCTCTCTCTCTCTCTCTCTCTTTCTCTTCCTCACACACACACACTTCAGAAAGCTTGGCATGTTGATGCTTGTAAATCACAAATTCACACCCATCATATAACACAAATCTAGGTAGTAAATATTATCCTCATATGAAAATGATGTGATAGCTTTTGCCAGAATGCTACTTATTCAACAAACATTTATGTTGCTATGTAAAAACTCAGTTTAAATACATTAATAATAAGGTGTGTTAGGCTGTTTAACTCATTCAGAATCCTATAAGTTGGGTTGTTTTAGGTTTTTCGGGCTATATGGCCATGTTCTAGAAACATTCTCTCCTGACGTTTCACCTTCATCTATGGCAAGCATCCTCAGAGGTTGTGATGCAGGCGAAACATCAAGAGAGAATGCTTCTAGAGCATGGCCATATAGCCCGAAAAACCTACAACAACCCAATGATTCTAGCCATGAAAGCCTTCGACAATCCTATAAGTTGCCTTCAGATTTCACAAATAAAGGTACAGGGTATCATAACAAACATTACGTATTGTGTTTTATTTTGTTTTGTTTTTTTTAAAAAATGTCAGTCTTGTTAATGTATGGAAGCCAAGTTCAGTAAAACAGAAGATCTGTCCTCTTTTTTACTATCTTGTGGCAAATCCAAGCAATTCA